CCCGGGGGGGGCACTCGACCCCGTTTTGGATAGGTACGTGCCGCCAGCGGTCTAAATCCCTGACCCTGTTTAAGACACTAAAAAGTAAAAATCCATACCCTGTTCAAGACAAATCGGAAAAATAAGGAATAGCTATCTACGCCGCAACCATCAAAACTGCAATTATACTGACATCCATCAAAGACAATAAGAAGTTTTTGATAACACGTTAATCCTGGGACAGTGAAACGGTATTTCTACTATTTCTACGGTGTTTTTTTATGAAAATATTACCCTGTCCAAGACACACAAAAAAATTATATCGGTATTTTATCTAAATTGTAGAGCCTGTTTAAGACATTTTCGGGTGAAATGTATACCCTGTTTAAGACAGCAAGGCCAAAAACCATACCCTGGCCAGCGGCACGTCCCCGTATAGCAAATATATGGGAGTATATTCTGAAAAATTTTATCACAATCTCTGCGATGAGTTAGAAAATAAATTTTGAAGAAATATGAAGGTGTTTTTGTTTTGCATCGTTAATTCGCTTTTTGGTAAATTAATTTATCAACAAGAATTATCGATAACCAATGTGTGACTTCTGTGAAAGTTTGAGTGCAATTGAATCGAAATTTGCGACGTAGTTGAAGTTTACAAATACGCGCGAAACGCTATTTATAACGATCGAAACGCCTTAAAATATTACTATGTTATAAATTTGGGAGAAACAAACAGACAAAACAAAAAACTACCAAAAAGGAATAAATTTTAACAGTATCTATTCTCGTCAGCATGAGGCAAACCGTGATTCTCGTTAACATAAACACGAGCGGAAAAACGTTTTGCAAAAAATTAACAAGACCTACCGGGGTAAAGGGTGAAAGCCGTCATTTCGGTCATGCATTTTGCCAATGAAAAAAGAGGCCCCATCGGAGCCGCTCTACATAAAAAAACCCGCTCTTCATCGATTTTTTTTTTTCTGGCTGGCACAAAATATTTAGCTTAGTACTAGCTGACTAGCTGGCTTCTGAAAAATTCGTACCTGTCTGGCAAAACTTGTGTGCAAAATTCGTTTACGTATCTCCCTTGTAAAGAGTTACGTTGCTCGCAAAAATATGATATAGTGGCTGGAATACCGAATTATGAAAAGCAACAAAGTTCGATTATACCAGTTAATTATTAAGTATAATTCCCGTAGGAATATTCCATCAAGATTGCAGGACCTTGCAGTACTATGTACTCAATATGGCTGACGCTGGTCGTTGGGGTCTCTTGAAGAATAGAGCCCATTGACTTCCACCAAATAAACAAATCAATGAATATATTTCCTCAGAGGCATTTTGCGAGCCTTTTCAATTACGCTCATTTATTTAAGGAATAAAAGACGAAATTCCGTGTTTGATACTCTGATCAAAACACGCGGGWTGTAGGGAGAGCACGAGAGAAGCGTAGGAAACCACGACGCGTAGCGGAGTGGTTTCCAGCTTTTCGAGTGCTCTCCCTACATCCCAAGTGTTTTGATCAGAGTATCAAACACGGAATTTCGTCTTTTATTTCTTTTCTAAAATTAAAAGATTACGAAAATTGTAAAGAATTCTGACTTTTGATACGATATAAAACGATGAATTCTCCTTACATTGCATTTGTCTGCAGCTTCTGTAGCTTCTAGACCTTCTAAAAAACGTTTGATAGCTCTTCTTCTGGGATATCATCCCAGAGGACATCATAAATAGGCATTTATTCGNTTCAGTTTACTTTTAATCAATTGACCTTTATAGATTATAATTTTAAACTTCATCCAACGGAACAAAGTCTACCGAAGTCAATATTAGTACGAACTAAAATTCTCATAAACATACTCTTTATAATATTTGTTTACATGTCAACAAAACTGTTGTAGCTCACATTCCTTAGAACAAAGCATCTACCTTTGAAATAGCAGTACTAGATAATCATTTTCAGCTTCTATATTGCTATTGGAGCTCCGCTATTAGGTGTTACCTAATTTTTATATTAGTAACAGTTAACGACTAACCTCGCGCCATTTTGAATTATACACTGGTATTCACCAGTCCTACCGTCCGATCAAATTGCGTGGTTCCCTAGCTAAAACTCAACCGCCAAACATAAAAACCCCCCAGGGTAGGCCCTAAGTGGGCGTTGCCCACCTCTCTGCCAATGGGATCGATGGATTTTGTACCACGTGATCATTTTGAATCGTCCAAAGCTYGATDCAAGCTGTGTCGTCATCTAAAATTTCGTCCCTCTCGCATCGGGGTCACAAGTAAAATGCTTACTAATTAGTTCTTCATCTCTGTAAAAGAATATCCAATAAACGAAGCTCGAAATTAATCTGTACGTAAATAACGAAATTCAAATTTTTAAAATTAACTATAAATCGATCAATTTAAGTTGAATTTACATGCTATCCGCCAAAAGCACCATTCATTATTCTTCGCTTGCAAAGTTATCAGCAAAATTATCTTGTAACTACTCACTTGACTATTTTTTCAGCTGTAATCCTTACGGAAAACTTCTCAAAACAAACGGATTTGTATTGGATTCAAGGGGACAGGGTAGTTTCCTTATATGGGTGAAGGGGACAGGGTAGTTTCCTAATATGGGTGAAGGGGACAGGGTAGTTTCCTAATATGGCGATGACGCGTCATTAGCTAGCATTGAGGATTGTACGATGGATTGGCACTTAGGGCCTACCCTGGGGGTTTTTATGTTTGGCGGTTGAGTTTTAGCTAGGGAACCACGCAATTTGATCGGACGGTAGGACTGGTGAATACCAGTGTATAATTCAAAATGGCGCGAGGTTAGTCGTTAACTGTTACTATAAATATGGAAAGAAATGGACTCAGCAGACCATAAATTCATGTTTATTCACCACAAGCTTATTTGACTAGCAATTAAAGACTCAAGTAAGTAAATAGGGAGTTCTTTTTTCCATGAACAAGAATTTCTCACGACTCGAAACAAGGAGTCTCCTAAAGCCCGTGTGTAGACTCTATTGACTTGCCAATACTCGCCAATACTTATCAATGGGGGGTTGAGAATCCAGGGGGATAGAGTACTCAAGTGTGACGTCACAAAAATAGTTTTTTTTTCGAATTTTTTGGATTCGTTGAAATAGAGCGCATGGAAAAAAGTAGCTATCTACAAAATTTCATAACGAAAGGAACGACCAAAATTACAAGCGTTATATGTGGTCACCCGACCATAAAATCGCTTGTATCTCCGCTAGAAATGTCACTAACACTCATCGTTAGCAAGGATGCATTAAAAATGATGCACTTTCGGAATATGGAGGGCAAATTTAAAAACTCAAAGATTTTAGTTTTGTGACGTCATCACTTGAGTACCTATGTAGTCTTAGTAAATCGTGCATGCGGTACGCAAATTAAAATGGAGCATTCAATACCGTCTTGCTTCCACTTTTAGTACTACTTAGATTTTGTACAGTTGCACGCTTTAAGTGCGATCACTCTAAGTAAAAAAAAAAGCAGTAGATCTGTATGAATATTTTTTAAATATTAAAACTCTCATGGAAATATTTTGAATATACAAAAAATAAAACACACTCGAATGTTGTCAGGATTACTCAAGCGTTTTATTTATGACCCACCTTAACATTTGCTTACAATTTAAACTGTTGACAGTAATCACAGTAAAATGCACCAAAAGAGAATTAAAATCGAAAATTGTGAAAATTAAGTCACTAAACTAGTATGCATTCTAAAGTAAATTTCAAGTTAAATTTCATTTCAAACTGCAGAAATGAGAACATAGCCATGACCGTGGCTGTTGTAGCAGCATGTATTGCTTTGATCTGATCCACTATTATATGACCCTCCCCCTCCTCCAGAAGAATCACCGTTATTGTCACCACAAGCCCCTCCTGAATATCCCCCACCACCACCCGCTCCGCCACCGCCATTTCCGTAAGCACCTCCACCCCCTCCAAAGCCACCAATGCCATACTTTCTGGGCCTTCCTCCAACACCTCCCTGTAAGAATCCTTTTCCWCCTTCTCCACCGTAACCAAAAGATCCGCCAAATTGCTTGCTGCTGCGACCAGATGAATAAAAGCCACCTCCACCTCCACCTAAACGAATATAATCACCCTTAGGGACTGTGCAATAATTACCAGAAGGGGGACGGGGGGGGGGATTTCTTAACAGCTGTAGCAACCCAAAATTCATTAAAGACGAACCCAGAAGGAAGAGGTGGCTTACTCATTTGGATCTAAGTGTAAAGACAAAAACGTTCAGGAGGAGCTGACAAGCAAAGGTGGTGCCATTGCTTCTTTCAAATATTCTTGTTCCTGGCAACGGTTTTCAAGGTCCAAAATTGGCTTATGTGACTTTTTTATAGTCAAAAACGACTTTGATATTACTTGTGCTTGTGATTTCTAATAAATCATCAATAGGTTTTTGAGCTTCTGCATCTTCAATTTATGTGAAAACTACATCCTCCATTTATGTGACAAAATTTAAAAAATCAGTAATTGAAAAAAAAAATCATATCTTGGTCGATAATTTCAATCACACATCAACGAGTCTTTGCATTTAGATTTCCATTAGTCAGGCGCGTAGCCATCAATTTTATGTTATGCCCCCCTCTGGTTAAAGCCCCCCAACTTATTGAACAGTCCCTTATATGAAAATATGTGAAATTTGAGGAAAAGAACTGAAAAAATGCTAAAAAGGAATAAATTTTAACAGTGCCTAGCCTGAAGCAGCCCGCATAACCCCGAGCAAAAAAAGAAACAATAGTCTGCAAAAACAACACCTACCGGGGTAGGGTAAAAGCCGTCTTTTCGATCATTCGTCAATGAAACTAACATAAAATATCTAGCTTATAGTACTTGCTTGCATTGCTGATTGGTTTATCAGGTTTAGATTTAGTATATTTGAAGAAGATTGATTTGTTGGTTTCTCACCTGAATTGCCACTGTCAGCCTTTGTGGCTCCTTGGCCATTTTTTCCACCAGCCCATTGACTTCCACCAGACCCAGGATTTCCAGATGTATACACAGTGCCGTCCGAACGAGAATGGTGCTTCGTAGCGCTTTCTATACCACCTCCTCCTCCAGCAACAATCAATGGTCTGTTGTCATACTTTGCCACAAAGCTTCCACCTCCTCCTCCAGATGCCCGAGATTTTGCATTTACACCTCCTTCTTGACCAACCAGTATCTTAATGCGGTCTCCCTTTCTTAATGCAAAAGTACCAATCATGCGAGCACCTCGACCTCGATATGACCGTGAATTTGCTATGTTGTCATAACCACCACTTGCACCGACTGCTTCTATTCTATAACTACCAGTGAATGGCACTGTCCAGATCTGGATTCCCGATGACAGAGTAACTTGTCCTTGATGATCCTGACCATTGTAGTGACCACCATTAGAAAAAGGACCATAGCGTCCACTAGCACCAAGATTTGTAAACTTTGCTTTGAAATCTAAAACAAATATCATGATTAAACTGCAATGTTTGTGTAAGAAGGCAGCACACCACAGTACAATGCAATGTAGTCTGACTTTTATTTCTGCGCTCGAATTGCAAGTGATCTCATATTTATATCGTCTTATACGACGTTCGTCTTTTTAGTCATTGAGATTTTGCTAGTCGCATTGCGCGACATTTGCAACGAGTGTAAAACGTAAGGTAAATTTTCAGAATATGAAAGAATATGAAAGAATATGAAAGACATGAGCACAGGGATCTAGGCTTTTCTTTATGTTCGAGATATATTGTAACAACTTTGAATGGAGATATTGTAAGATTCGGCTTTAGTATTAATGAATATTTGAAGACTCCTCATTTTCCATATCCATGTTCTTTTGAACATGCTAAATTAGAAAAAATTGACTGAAGCTTGAAACAATAGCGATTCAGGCAAACGAAGTATATGATTTACGGTCTTGGAATACATTATGTTCATGAGTTTTAAACGTTTTAGTNAAGAAAAAATAAAGAACAAATTAAACAAAACAATACTTTTTTCGGCAGCTGATCCAGGACGTTATTACAAAGGAGGGCGACCAACCCAACAGTTAGATTAAAAATATTAAATTGTTTATATGTTTAGGGCTGTCGAAAATGAAAYTTCTATTAGATGAATGTTGCTTATAGTTGTTTTTAAAAATAATCAATAAACTTTAAAAACTACTTAAATTGCTTATTCCAGGTCATAGAATATATTGTTCGCATTTAACCTGATTTTTTCGTTGTTTTCGTAACAAAATAACTGTTACGGCATTTTTTTACTGTTAGTGTTATAAGGCCTGATTTTTTTWAAATGTTTCGTGTTGAGGCCAAAAAATAACATTTAGTGTGATAAAGGCACCACCGTTATGACTATGGTTCATGAGTCCAAACTACTGTAAAGGCATCCCAAGAAATGATTTCTCGCTTTATCCCGATTGTTTTGTGTATGAGATAAACTCTTATAAATGTTGGAGTCTCTTTTAACAATATGATTTTTGGTATTATCACTAACCCGTGAAACCCTATGAAGTGGCGAATTTTGTAGTTCTATCCTGACAGTAAGTTTTAAAGATTTTTCATGAATAACAGGTGGAGCAGGTGGGCCGATTAATTGATTTTCAAATAAATGTTATCTAAATATAAGTTGCAGGCAAAGTCAAGATTAGTAGCAAATATTTTGACAATCATTCGTTAGTGCAATTAGTACAATCGAAAGCCATCTGAATAATGAAACGCCAGAAATTAATGTCAAGCCAAACCGAGGGATTTKAAATAACCAGTGCCAACCTTGCCTTTAGCTTGAAGCTTGAGGAGCCCTTGCCTCGGATGAATTGAGCGAAAAGATAGTTTTGTTCTATCCATTTGATTGTAGCGACTCCTTATCCASCGAAATAAATCCCTATCGAAAAAAAACTATACATTGATCGAAGGGGATAAGGGCAAACAAATGTTATAGATATAGCAGTCTTTCAGCGCCAAAAGATTGTCTGTACTGAATAAAATCATGCATGACGTAATGCTATAATGTAGCATCTTTAGGCAATTATAATTTGAATGTCTAAGTACTGAATATCCCTTTCAGTGTAAACTTCGCCCGGGGAGACTCCCTATAAAAGCTGGTAGGTATGCTCGACGGAAGGATTGAAAAATGACCCTAAAAGAAAAGCTAAAGTTAAACAAACTTTAGAAAATCAATGTTGATAGAATTGTTGAGGTTAATAAAATCTATTTCTTTATTACTTCTTCTGAATTTGTTCTTTATTACTTCTTCTGAATTTGTTTCGATATTTGTTTCGATGTTCGAAGATTGACTTCAAAAGATATAGCACGGAGTCAGCTCAGGAAAAGGTATGCGAGGGTTTTATTTTCGACCCTAAAATGTCCGCCGAGCAGTCTACCCACTTTATAATAAGGGGARTTCCCCCGGAAAAATTCGTTGATATCACATTTCTRTGACCCGACAGCATCTTCAATTCAGGTACATACTTAGAAAACGTTAAAAAACGTTTGGAGAATACTTATTTTATCTACCCTAAGCTCGATTATTAAATAGACAGCTGAGATACAGTTTTTAAAAATATTATTTGAGAGTAGAGTCTCCCAAAAACCCATTGTAAGCTACAAAGAAACTTTATGCCTCGCATGATTGAAAAAAATCTTACATTTTAAATATTGGTTTCATTTTACATAAGATTCTTGTATATCCGCCTCTACTTATATTTAGACTTGTGCGTTCGAAACTGGTTATGTAAACGTGCAGAAAATTGCAAAGGTTGTATGCTTTGGCAGGACGTTTACTAACTTTGGATCGAGATARCCCCTTAATCCATCCCACTACTGATAAAGGTAGAATTGCGCTCCGAAAACAACCAAACTGCTGTCACACGTGTTTGTAAATATTTTCAAATTTTGCTCTTTCGCCTTTCTCTTACTGCGAACTATATTCATATATAGAAGTAAATGTTTTTGATGAGATGTGCATATCGATCGGTTTCTAGAAATACGCTATGACGCAAACACGCAAAAAAATTCTCGTTTCTGGATAAGTGTATTAAATCTTACTAAGTTATTGTTTATTCTTTCAGACAGGCCGGCCCCCCGGTATTTTCGAAAATTTAATTTTGTTGCATGAAAAAAGCTCGTTGTTTTTTCCTATGATGTAATTCATTAACAGTTATATTTACTGCAAAATGAAAGCTTGATGAATAAAAAGGATTTCTTGACCACAATATTAATTAAWCTTCTTAGACCGCCGCCCCTGCCAGAAAGAAAAAAACATTCAGTAGTGGTCATGTTTTGCAACTATTATTTGGAATGATTACTTTAATCTCCCTCTTAATTTGAAATTACATGACTTTTTATTGACCCCTGTAGGATAGAATGAGCGGATTTCCAAGAAAATGAACTATGACAGGCTWCCCGTCAAGACTTATATGTAATAATCTTCCATTTATTGACCAAATTTAGTTGAATATGTTTTGACATATAAATATTTGAATAAGACATGCCTGGTCAGGTTTGAGCTGAACCTACTTAAAGATCTTTCCTAGAACTATAAGCGCTCATTTCTCTATAATTGCTGGAGGAGCTACTTTCGAAGCATAGTTTGGTGAGTTTATATATTTTTGAGGGCGAGTTGTTTTGTTGGAGTCTAGCTCCGTTACTTTACTAGCTAGCTCATCTATATCATATTGAGTTATTTTAGCTCCAAGAATCAACTTCTGTAAACTTGATTGATTTATAACATTTATAGATTCTTTAATTGTGTTTAGTGTGACGAACCTGGAAAGCCTTCGAACAAAAATCATGTCTTTGAGAGCTGAAGACGTTGAAATTGTCGAGAAAGCGGTGAAAGGGACACTTGAACAGCTTGAAAAAAATTCTCCCGAGGAATTCTCCAAGTTGAAAGCAGATCCCGAAAAGGAGAAAGCCGTAATAGAAGCAGCGCGAACAATGGCGACAGAACACGTTATACTGGCAAGAGAGTTTGTCGATCAACCAAGTAACATCGGAGAGCGACTGGCAAAGCATTTGCCTGAAAGCAGAATAAAGATCATACGTGAGGGTTTTAATTTCCAGACATTTCGAATGGAGATCAGCAAGGAAAGCGACGGAAAACACTGGGCAAAAMTTACCTCAGAAGGGAAACAGTATGAGCCCAAAGCTCTTCTGGAAGCTGTTGACATCGATTGGTCAAAGCTTAAGCAATACGCCAGTGTATTGGTTGAAGCCATTGTTCTTGTTCTGTCAGCAGTAGGGATTTCACCATCTCCAAGTTCAAAGGCAATCGACAAATCCATTGAAGAGGCTGAAGAAGCAATCAAGTCATCGACAAAGCTGCAAAGGGCTTTGGATGAATTTGTTTCAGCCTGGAAAAATGCCGGGGGAAGTGCATCCAAGAAGGCTAAAGCGATATTTGTCCTCATCGAAAACAGCTACGCCGAGGACATTCTTTGGACAATCATTAAATCCATATGCAGTGGAATGTCTTGGTACGATTGGTTGTTGACCGCTGCGAAAGTCACAGCTATGATCATTGCAGCTCTGGCCACAGAAGGAGCAGCTTTGATTGCAGAAATTGCATTGATTGTTTTAGATGCAGTCACCTTTGCAAGGAAAATTGCCAACCTCATTCAGCTTGAAACGATCAAAACAACAATGTAGAAAATGAGCTAAATTATTATTGAAATCCAAAAGCCATGCAATCAAAAGTACATTTTTTTATAGCTTTTGAAATTTATTTGATCTTTAGAACAGGTTCATGCTGAGCGTGTCCGGACACACCTTATCCATTTTTTTTTATCATAAGAGGGTCTAACATATCGCGACTCACGTTTACACAAATTACATTTTTTCTACTCACGGTTAATTGGTTTTGCTTTTATTTTTCAAATTACGTTAGTAATTATAACTAAGCATTTTTGGAAATTTTCTGCATTAAAATGTCTAAAAAAAGCATGTTACGTTGAATTTGTTGTCTTTCTTGTCATTTTGTCCATTATTCTTAATCTCATGACAGATTTGTTACCCGGGCGTTTGTATAACTATCTTTGAAAAACAAGACCTAAGAGAACGGAATCTCAATTGTAGAGGAACAAAACTCACGGTTTACGCCATAAAAGTTAAATATATCCACGGCTCAAAGTTATATATTATTTTCTTATTTTCACGCACCACAGTTAATTTTTAGCCACTTCACACGGCTCACAGATAACCCCATTGAGACTCTTATCAGCCTCTATTAATTCGTCAGACGAGAAAATCACAGTTATATAATACATCGATGTCTTATTGTACTTTAGAGCAGTAAACATACTATGGTACTATGCCTGCCATACTGGATGGCAAAATACTCAATGCCATGTTCCAAACAAATAAAAGTCAATTTTTGCGAGATGCAATCCTTTGGTTTTTGATTTCGTTTAAGGTGTTTTTGCAATCCAGTATAGTGGATTTAGAACCATGTGACCGTTTCATGCAAAAGGCCTATTCCGGGAAATTTGACAGGCAGGGAAAGTACCTTCGATATAGTATCGATTTTGTGAAATACAATATATAAATACAGAGTTTGTGTTTTTAGTCTAGAATCATATTAACTCTACGAAATATTTTAAAATTGAAGCTAGGATGTTGCATAATAGGAAATTGAGTAAAATATTTTTTAGTCGGGTTTTGTCGCGCGTGTACACTTTGCACACTTTGCGCATTTTGCCACTGCACTGAAGACGATAGCAGTTGCGATCGAAACGTCTGTATTAAATTCAAATATTCAAGCTGGAGACGACTAAATTTCTTATCATATTAACTCTAGTTCCAACTTTGCATAAGCTTCCTTTTTCAGTGCTTTTGTAAATCTGTTTGTTTGTTTGTCAACCTCACACATCCCTGCTTTAAGGCTTTGCTGCACTTGCACTGAGAATTTAAAACAAGCTAAAGCGTGAGCTCACGGTAGGATAAAAACCACCATACCCTATTCCAACACATGCGCATTGCCTCGATAAAATATAAGATAAACTATATATGGACAGTAAAATTGCTGTATGTCCTAAGGAAGCACAATCACCTTTTGTTATGTGAGTACCGTCATATGACAATAAAAACCCATGATTGTTATGCTAACGATAAGCCAAAATTGGACTATTTACATGATGTCGGAAAATTACTGAGCTTGTCCTAGACATATCTAGCGTAAACGCTAAGTAACATAAAAATTTTATTTGTGTCAAATATTTAATTTCATGCCAAAACGCGCTTGGACGTGATTGCGGAAAGTCAGTAGGTCAGTTCCGCTTCATTCTGCCGAAAATAGCAAAGTAACAAGATCATGACTTCTCGGAATCCAAAAGAAAACGTGATAAGCTGATTCCTTGAATAACAACAATTATAAATAAATAGACTAATGAATCAGTTTTCAAGTGCTATTTTGAAATATTGAAAAATTTAGTGGTTCTGAGGATGGTATAGTCACTAACTAAAGTATAATTAACATTTCGTACTTCCGAAACAGACCATGGAAAAGTTGATTAGTTTAAAAAGCTCGTAAACAATATATAAATGTACTGTGAATTCAATAATTAACACAGTGTCATTTTACACATATTAAAAATTTTATGTAGGAGGTTTTGTTCGATCAAACATAAATATTTTAAAGYCTAGAATTTGAAATAAAAGTTGAAATTTTGGCTTCACGAGTATCTATCTTCCTCTAGTTCTACTTTCACTTCACAAGACAAAAGGCGTCAAAATATGACATCAGCACATCCTTCCAAAAACAACTCTATTTTTCTAGGAAAAGACAATTGTAGGAAATGGAGGCTAAAAATGGATATTTATGTTCTGATGATAGTCACGCTGACATCCCAGAAACCATACGTAGTCTTGTGCGGCTATAAAATGAGACAATCACTTACGTTTGAACATTGGCATATTGCAGCCACACAAGCATAGAGAAGAGATTGAAGCTGCCTTTCCTGCTTGTTGGAAATAAAGCAACGATCGAAAGCTTTGGAGATGGCCCAGCACAATATAACCCTTTTTGACGCAGATGGTCTGAGCTACAAATTCGAGGGGTCCAGCAACAAAACTGACGATGTGAACTACGTGAAAATAACCGTTACTGGTGGAATATGGATTCTATACAGAAACGTGGACTTTAACGCAAGCCAGGCTGGTGGAAACGCATCAGACATTCTCATCTTCAAAGAACCAGTGTCTGAACTGAAGCTTGATTTCTCACCGTGTTCCCTCTTCAGATGCCAAGACAACGTCGACTCGTGTACTGTGTTTGAACACAACAATTATGGTGGGCAGAGCAAGGTAAGATTTTTATAAAATAGATTTGAGAAGAAATGAATTGATTTTGGTCCATCGTGGAAACGAAAGTCGAGAAGTTTTTTTTATAGCCACGAGGAATGTAGATTCATGTGGTAGTACTGACATATGTGCTTAAAATTTCAAAATATTTGGCAGGGGAAATCCTTCAAGGAAAAAAATGCTGACATTCGTCCGGGATAACCTCCTTCCTAAGCACTACTTTTTCTCTTTGTTTCTGTTTCATGTAATAAAATACCCTAAATTAATCATTTGTCTAAACAGAAACAGGGGCTTTGCTTAACTGAAATTAATCTAAACTAGGATTAAGAAAATGAAAAATTATAAAGATTTTTCGAAACCCGCAGTTTGCAAGCTCCCCAAGATTGAACTAATTGATATTTTCACAAATACTGGAGGGAAGCACGACGTGTTGTAATTGTAGAAATGAAAACAGGAAATACACGTACAAGACCGGCGCGTGAGATGACATGTCAGACTCACCCTAGAACTATATATCTTCAACGTGTCGTGAACAGTTATCAAGACACACAATTGGAGAAAAATTCATTATTGTAACACTAATGCTAGCAGAAACAGGAAGCGACCTGAATGAGTTGGATGTACCCCAAATAAGTTGTGTTTCAACTTTTTGATTATTACATATCCTTCTATTACTTTGATATAAGCCAATGACCAGGATTATGTGATTCATTTGCTCTCGCATTATATTTACAGCAATACCAAGAGGCGTGCTTTGATATATGCCAAGACTTCCCGTCAGGTGATCCACGTGGAGTGTCATCTATCATTCTCTGGCCGAACAAGGACTGGGAACTATTCACAAAGGAAAACTTTACAGGCGGAAGTAAAGTGGTCAAGAACAGCTGGCACCCAAACCCAGAGTCGATGGGATTCCCCAATGATAAGCTGCGCTCTCTACGCCCTCGTTAATTAATTTACAGTCACGCATTTTTTTTAGATAAAAACAACGCTTAATTTGTAAAATTAATGCTAAAGATAAAGGATTTTTTTTTAATTAAAAAAAAAAATAGAAAATATTGGTTTTGATCGAGATATCAAAAAGTAAAAGAAAAATAAAGTTGCCGCTACGATGTTGCATGATAAAGAAATTGAGTCGTCTCTAGCTAGAAAAAAATAAATTTAATGCAAACGTTTCGATCGCAACTGCGATCTTCTTCACTGCACCGGGTAGCAGAAGTACTGCAGATTCATTTCCAAGATTTTTTTCCTACTCATTTGCTACTCACGAACTTGAACTGATGAAAATAGATGGAAAAAGTGACTGAGTACTTGTTTTTCTGTGTGAGTGATGAATAATCCAGTTTCGAATTCTTCAATTCTTTGTGCTAGCCTCACTTGTGCGCAAAATATTTCTAAATTTTGTGAGAATAAAAATGTAAGATTTCAAATCAAATTCTATTGTCTTACTTTTCAAATTCCATGCGTTTTCTCGGGCTATCAATGAAAGCATAAGGTGAAGACAGAGCAAACCAGAACTCGAAATTGAAGTATTTTCTGTGTGAGTGATAATGGTGATAGGAATATGTATCAGGAGAAGGGGAAAGAGTAAAAACAGATCTGCTTGCAGGCAATAAAAGAATATGGTGTATTTGTAAATGGGTAAATAAAAAGAAAAAAAAGGAATGAAAAAAAGGAAAAAAGTTACAAAAGATATAGAGGAGAAGTAGCTAAACAATTGAATAGATAGCCAGATGGAGAAAAACCTTAATGTATGGATACAAAAAGAAGAATAAACACCCAAAGAAGGAATTGAMAATAGAATGGAAAGTTGATGTACAAGATAGAAAAGAATGAAGGAAGAAAGATCCGTGGAAAAAAGTTGAGGGATAGATAAAAAGAAAGATAAAATAGATAAATAAAACAGGGAATAAAGTAAAGAAATGTGGGCTTAGAAATGTTGATCGTTTTCAACCATTCACATGAGATTCAAAAAATAAAAGGCCAAGATGGCCACAGTGACGTAAGTTGAGAACGAAGAATTAAAGATCTATCGTGATTTCAACGCTATTGATATTGAAAATTTCTTGATTTGAATACAAAGATATGTTATAGAGCAATTACATTCACGTCTATAGCTAACATCCCCAAATCAATCTTAGTAAATTATAAACATTTGTGAATGTTTTTTCTTTAAAAAACTCAAAAATTGCAT